TTTGTTGTACCCATTCTACAGATGAAGAAACTGCAGTTTAGAAAAACTGAGTAACGTCCATGGTGACGCAGTTAGTCAGTGGCTAGCTGGGATTTTGACCTGAGATCTCTTTCATGGCAAGCTCAATGCTCTTAAACACTTCATGCTTCTATGCTGTATTCTCATTTCTCAGGATTCAGTTCATACTTCCCCTCTTCTCCAAGGTCTCTCCTGATCCCTCTATGCTCTGCCAAAAGCCTCTCTCTCTGTCTCTCCCCACGCCTCCTCCAGGCCGACTTCCAGCAGAGCACCCGAAATGGTGCACTTACCATTCTAGCACTTACTTTCTATCTCCCCACTGGATCAGGCATGCCCCAAGTTAGGGGAGGACTCATTCGTGGCACTTATAGGAAGCTCTGACAAACCTGCAAGCATCCAGTACAATGTTTTTAAATGAGCTAATTAATGGGTGACAAAGATAGCCTAAGTCTTAGTAAATGCAAAGGGTGACAAGAGCTAAAACTCATTCTTCCCAGAGTGACACATCCTTCTTTCATCACCACAATACCTGGTATGCTTTTTGAGTTTCCAGGATTTACACTCAAGAGGCTATCAATTTTCTCTTGGACAGTTTTCCTGCACAACGTGTGTGCTAACCTCATATGACATATGACACCTGCAGCAGAGTCTGGCTGATGATTGCTTCTGGGCACACAACTAGACCATGTATCCTGCTCTCTTTTGCAGTGTGGGGTAGCCATGTGACTGAGTGTCGTGTGGCTGTGATATCCACATTTCCAAATGGAGCACACTTTACTATAACAAACACCATACTTAAATATTGACTCATAGGAAGTGACTTTTATGAAAGAATCCAGGGTGGAGTTCCCTGGCTTCCTCACAAATGCCTACCTGAATGAGGCTTTACCTTCTCATGAAGAGGAGATCTGTAACCCTTCTCTCTGTCTCCTTTACCTGGAGGCAAAATGCCCTTCATGGTCTTCTACTGGTGCCATCGTCTTTAATTCAAGGGAAAGGACATGCTTGTTACTCTCCTTAACATATGGGAAAACAAGCTACTAATGATGTTCTTTCTTGTTCATCTATCATGGGAAAGAGAGAAACTATGGAATAACTCAAGAGTTGGATGAGACCGCTGATGCTATGAAAACCCTGGTTACTGAGTGTGCCTCATCCAGGGAAGCACTTTCTCATTTTCTCTTAAGATAATTTGCACACAGGGATTCCCCTGGTAAGATGTGTCATTTTTACAGAGAGAAAAAGAGAAGGATGGCAGACACGTGGCTGAATGAGTCACACCATCTCCCTGCTCTCCTCGTCCTTATTAGAGCAGTTAGCAATACTGTGCTCTAGTTGTCTGTGTTTATGTTCTCATCTCCCTCCCCACTGGTTTTGTTTTTGTTTTTGTTTTGTTTTGAGACGGAGTTTCACTCTTGTTGCCCAGGCTGGAGTGCAATGGCACATCCTTGGCTCACTGCAACCTCTGCCTCCCGGGTTCCAGCTATTCTCCTGCCTCAGCCTCCTGAGTAGCTGGGATTACAGGTGCCCACTGCCACACCCTGCTAAGTTTTGTATTTTTAGTGAGACAGGGTTTTACCATGTTGGCCAGGCTGATCTCGAACTCCTGACCTGAAGGGATCCACCTGCTTCAGCCTCCCAAAGTGCTGGGATTACAGGTCCCCTCCTCATTGTTGTATGAACTTCTGGAAGGAGGGATTTTGCCCTATTTTCTCCATATGCCCTGTTCTTAAACCTCATCACCCTTCAGTAAAATGTGCTAAATAAATGAATGTATGAGGACGTGTGCCAAAGCGAGGATCCCTCACTGAATTCTTTCCCAGATGGTCTACAGTTGGGAACTTCACTGTGACTTATTTATGTTCTTATTCCTATACTGTAAATAAAAAGCACATAACAGGAGAAATAATCATAGAGTCCAGATAAGTCATCTCCCACCTTCACGACTACACCTCAAGTATCTCAGATTAAAAGGATCAAACTCCAAGCACCAACAAACAGATCACCTACTGTGTGCCAGCACACTACTGGAGATGCAGTTAAACAGAGGTGGCCACGTAACTGAGTGTCATATGGCTGCGACATGCACCTTTCCAAGCTGAGCACACTTCACTATATCAAACACCGTATCTAAATATGAACTCCTATGGACTGACTTTTGTGAAAGAGTCCAGAAGGTGGAAGATGCCACACTCATTTCTGAACACTGCAGAAGTACAGGGCCCATGGCTACAATGCAGGACAGCCCAGCCAAGGGTTGGACTGGGGAAGCTATATAGTTTTCAGAGTCCAGAACAAAATGAAAATGCCAAGGATGAGGAAGTCAATCACCTCTTCCCACAGACCTGCTGCTTCAACTCACAGTGGTCAGGCCAGCTCCAAACTGCTGCACCTCCCCACCAGGAGTGAAGGTGAATGAGAGGTCTTTATAAGCCTCCACTGAGTGTGCTGTGGCACTGCTGGCCAGAGTGAGAGTAGCTTCCGCATTGTCCCACCCTGAGATGCCACGGGGCACCCACTGGATCCTGACTCTCCCTGTACCCACACCTAGGCACAGCTAGGGGAAGAGGGTGACAGAAGACCATGGGCCTCCTCCAAGCAATGCAGCCTGGTCACTGCCCTTAGCAGTATAGGGCAGGGAGGGGAAGAAGAAGGGCAGGCAAGGCCCAGGATGCTTGGGAGTGGCAGCAGGCAGCTGAGAACCCATTCTGGCGAAACCTAAAGATAGCAGGAGGTGGGACCATGTGTGAGCCAACGCTCAGCCTTGGGAGCATGTTCCATTGTCCTACCAGGCTTCACTTATAAAACACAAATTCAGAGATAAGTTATTCACAAATTTTAAGACTAAATCTGGGAGCAGTAAACCATCCCTCAGAACACAGGGCCTGGTTCTGTGCCCACAGAGCTGGCCCTGGGCTAAATAGAGTGTCATTGACTATCTTGATCTGTTTTGTGTTGTTATAACAGAATACTTGGATTGGGTAATTTATTTTAAAAAGAGGTTTATTTGGCTCACAATTCTGGAGGCCTAAAAGTCTAAGCAGCATGGCCCCGGCCTCTGGTGTGCTTTTGGTGAGAGCCTTGTTCAATATCACAACATGGTGGAAAAGGGGATGGCCAGGAGAGTGCAGGGGAGAGAGACCAAACTCGAGAGGCAAACTCGCTGATAACAACCCACTCCCACGAGAACCAATCTATTCCCATGGGAACTATCCCAGCCTCTGAGAAAGAGATTAATCCATTTTGATGATCTAATCACCTCTTAAAACCACCACCTCCCAATACCATTAAATTGACAATCAAATCTCTCATGAATTTTGGTGGGGCCAAATCATATCCAAACCACAGCACTGACTATAGAATCAAGAAGAAATGGGAAACAGAAGTTATCAAACACTAAGGAGGAAGTGGAACCCAACTTCAGTATGAGTCCTGGAAAGGCATGAATGGGCAGAGAGCTGAGAGAGACTATGACAGCTCATCCTGACTGGATGTAGGAGAGGGCCAGCCGGGCCTGTGCTCTGTACCTGTAGCTCTCCAAGTGTGGTCCCAGACAAGCAGCACCAGCAGCACTGGGAAACTTGCTAGAAATTCACATTCTTAGGTCACCCTACACACACCAAACCACAACCTCTAGGGCAGGGCCCAGCAATCTATATGATAATAACCCTCCAGATGATACCAATGCATACTCATCTGTGAGAACCCCTGGTCTAGACCCAGCAGTGTTTGTAGACCGTCAATACCCACAGTGATCCCACAGAGAGGAAACCTAACAGAGGCAACGCAGAATAGTGTTTCAGAGCGGAGGCTGTGGAGCCAGATTGCCTGGAGTTGAGCCCCAGCTGGGTCACTGCCTTGCTGTGTGACCTTGGACAACTCAGTTAACCTCTCTGTTCCTCCACTTCCCATCTGTAAGATGATAAAGATCTCACCTCTTAAGGTTGTTCTGATGATCAAACAAGACTTGTCAAGTGGTTGGAAGAGAGTCTAGCATATAGTAAGTATTCTGCAAGTGCTTTTTAATAAAAATACAATGATGGATGTTAGCATTGATCAAGCACTATATATTTGGCACTGGGATATATTTATGGTGATGATCTCATTTGATTGTCACCCAGGTTGTTGCTTTACTATTCATCTTCATTTTACAATGGAGAAGCTTGGGGAGCAAATCCCCAAGGGCAAACAGAAATTAAATTCTGGGTCCACTGCTTACTAGCCCTAAGTCTTTGAACCCGTTGATTACCTTATTGATCTTCACTTTTGTCCTCTCTGGAGTGACAAAGAATTTGTCTGATTTGGTTGCAGTGAGGATGAAATTAAGTTCTGAAAGGAGTCTGGCACATAGTAGGCCCTCAAACATGCTCACTCTTTGGTGGTAACCCATATACCTGTTCTGTGGGGTGGCCTGCTGGCACACTAGCTACCATGCTATGTGCAAGATGAGGTTTGTCCACCCAAATCTCAGCACACAGATGCCAGAGAGCTCTTAATTGCCACATCCCTCTCCCAGCCCTGCTAATAAGAGAGAAACCTCCCTCCCATTATTCCCAAACCATTCTGTTTGATGCAGCTGGAAATTGTGGCCTAGTCTTTCACCCTGTCTTGGCCATTTCTGCTATCTTTCTCCTTGAAGAAAGCACATAAATATTCAAAGAACACTGGCATTTAGATGCCCTACAATTTAAGGACCTATTTAAAATTAAGCATGCTGAATAAAAGGCCTTTATGAGGTGTTCTAAACCCCTATAAAATACCGTTGCTGACACCTCAGTAAGCGGGTTATTTGCAGCTTCATAAACAGAGCTATGTGGTGGGTGTCTCAGCTGCACTTGTCTCTACCTTTGTTCCTTCTCATAAATGTGGATTGGACCCTTGGAATACAGTTATGTGAGCCTAGCAGAAGGCACCAAGCTCAGCCTTGGATTGGTGATTCACTGAAGAATGATGTCCTGGAGCATGAGTAATCTCCAAGTAAGAAGAAAAGTAAACAGAGTAGGGGTTAGTGAAACCCACACATAAATCTGAAGGTCCAAAATGCCCTTCTTCCTCTACATCTGCTTGGTGGTGGAGGGCCTGGACAATCTGCAAGCTCCCTCGCACATCTCTGCAGGGGCCTCTTGTGGCTGCGAGGGACTGTGGTACCCCCACTCCGGTGGATCTCAGGTCAGTGTCTCTCCGGGAAGTGGCCTTTGAACTATCTTCATTGAAGCCATTTTCCCTGCTTTCTCATAGAAGTGCAAAATGAAAATTCAAAGGGAAAACTACACACATACATTGTCCTCATGTCAATCTTTTGGTTTCTACATTTTACGACAGTTACATAAGATGTAACCATTGAAGGAATTGAGGAAAGGGGACACAGGACTTCTCTGTCCTGCCTTTGCATATTCCTATGAACCTATAATTATTTCAAAATAAAAAGTCAAAATGAATTCAATGGGAGACACCGGGTTTTGAAGTGTGTCCTCGGCTGCTCAGTGAATGGCACATGATGTGATGGGCTGTCATCACCTGCCACAGGGAACCAATTCCTGAAAGAGTCTGGGTGATTTATGTTTTTTGTAAACTGATCCTTGTCATTTAAACTCAGGAAGAAAATTTGATTTGCTAGACATTTGTTGAATTGTCCACTAAGTATCCTGCTCTGTGCTGGACTGTTGAATTTGGTACTAGCTTAAAGGAATTTAGTAGTTATAATTACAACAAACAACAATATTATATAATGGAGACTGCTATGTTTTGTACTATACTAAGGCCTTTAAATCTTTGCACAGGCTAGTTTCTTGGTCAGCACTTAACAAAATTCTCATTCGTTGGTTGTCTGATTCAATGCTGTTTTTCCTATGTACATCTTGATTAATTTTAATTCAACAAGCAATTCAACAAATGCCTATTGAGCACCTATTATGTAAAGTCTGGAACTCAACAAATACCTACTAAAACTGATAATAACACTCAGTGCAGTAGGATTCAAATAAGTAAGTCCAACCATGGCCAAACTGGGCTAACCATAGTAATGGCCATCACAGGGCACTCACCATATGTTGTTCATTGCAACAATACTGTGTGATAGGTGCTATCATTGTCATCATTATCACCATTATCCTCATTCTCATGTCATAAAGAAGTAGGGAGATGAACAAACTTACCCAAGATCATACAGCTAGTGAGTGGTAGAGTAAGGATTCAAACCCAGTCGTATAGTTGCGGCATCTGGGTTTTTGACCCTACGCTACACTGCCTCTTTCTAAGAGGCATAACCAAAAAGGGTACAGAGTGCTATGGAATCCCCTAGACATGAACAATTCAGTCTGAGTTGAAAAACAAAAGATTTCTTAGAGAAAGTGACGTCACAACTGAGTTCTGAAGAGTACAGGTTCAGTAAGCAGAGCTGAAGAGAAAGCATTCCAGGTGGACTGAGTTCCCTGAGTAAAGGAGCAATGACTGGCGTTCTCCACGGCTATGTACACCAAGCACTGCTTTCCTCACCGTTGTGTGGTGATGCCTGCCCATCAAAGCCCTAGGAACTCAGATCCCATGTGGCCAGATATGTCCACCATCAGGGCAGTCCGTCTCTTGCTTTGTAAGCCCTCCAAGAGAACTCGCTTTTGTCATGGGAAAGTGCGAGACTGTCTTCCACAGCAGTGGAGTTGCCTGTTCTTGTTCTCTGGGCTGCAATTAATTTTTGGCCCCAAAACACAGCAGAAATACCTTTAAGTACTCAGGCAAGAATCTTTTTAGTCTGGTAAAAAATATGTAACATGAAGTGTACCCTCTTAACAAATTTTTAAGTATACAGTACGGTATTGTTAACAATATGCACATTGTTGTACAGCACGTCTCTAAAACCTTTTCATTTTGTGTGACTGAAACCCAGCTAAGAATTCAAAGACAAAGAGTTGAGTCCCAAGTGGTGTACCTTGGATTAGGGTACTATCCAAGGTAATAAAATACCAGTGCCCAGAGTAGCAGTTTCTCTGGTTGGTCCTCGGGAAATGCTAAAACAGAGAGAAAATCTTACTACTATCTTCTGCAATTATCTCACCAGTGTCGAAAGTAAGACAGAAATCAGAGATAAAAACAGAATGGGAAACATTTTCCTTAAATAAAATAAACTAGAAAAAATACATGAGACCACTTTGGAAACGACAGTGTTTCAAAGATGGGTTGTTTTCCAAAGACAACACTGTGGCCATTGTCTAATGAGCACTGAACTGGGAGTCCACTGAACTCTAGTCCAAATCCCACTTTTGCTTCTCAGACAGCAATATCTGCCACTCCAACTTTGTACAGGTCAAAAAATAAAAATGAGATACTGCACGAGAAAGCAGTCTATAACAGGAAAGCATTAATACATAGGATATTGTTACTGCTAGTAAAGTAACAAGTAATGCAGAAAGATTGGACAGATTTACTCCTACCAAATAAAAATATCTTAGGTTCTGATTTCCTCACAAATATACTAGATTAGAGCTCGAAGTCCTCTTTTTATGGAATTAGCAAAGCCTGTCGGTAAAACAAATACCAGCTCTCCTTTGAAGAACGCTCATTTCTAGCATATCTTGATTGATAAGGCAGGACATTTGGCAAGAGCCTAATGACAGAACAGGGAATTTACCTTCTCTAGACCACAAAATGAGGTGCCAGAACATGCAGAGAGGTCTCAGGTCAGACCCTGTTAATCTGAAAAACAGGTCCCAGAGATTATGTTGAGTGTGAGGTCATGTTATCCAATCCCAAACTAAAACCACACTCACACCACATTCAGATAGTCAAAACACTTAATCATTTACCAAACTCTGTGGAGTCCCTGTATTCCATGGTCTCTGTCATAAAGTAATTTTCTGGAAAAAGTTGTACAAGTGAGTTTATGGAGCATCTTGAGATTTCACCTGAGGATTTTAAATATTATCCCTAAATTTTGCCTAAAGAATTTAAATAAACGAATGGTAGGATCAATCTTGGTTTTTAGAAAGGTAATAGGACTCTCTTTGAGACAGGAAGAGCAGCTAAGGACAGATAATCTCAGCAAGAAATAATAAATTCTGGCCTGGTGCAGTGGCTCACGCCGGTAATCCCAATACTTTGGGAGGCCAAGGTGGGTGGATCACCTGAGATCAGGAGTTCAAGACTAGCCTCGTCAACATGAAGAAACCCCATCTCTACTAAAAATACAAAAATTAGCCGGGCATGGTAGTGCATGCCTGTAATCCCAGCTAATCAGGAGACTGAGGCAAGAGAGTCACTGGAACCTGGCAGGCGGAGGTTGCAGTGACCCGAGATCATGCCACTGCACTCCAACCTGGGCAACAGAGGAAGACTCGGTCTCAAAAATAGTAATAATAAAAATAAATTAAATTCTGACCTAATAGTAATGACAGTTGGAGAAGGCACAGATTCTAGAAATAATTTAATGGGAGACACTACTGGGCTTGATGTCTGGTTGGACAGAAATAAAGAACTCTTGAACGTTGCCTAGATTTCTGAATTGGCATCTGAAATAACATTGGTGCCATTCACCAGGCCATAGAATACAGAATGAGGAAGAGTAGGCTTAAGAGAGGAGATAGTAAGAATGAGGAATTCTACTGGAAGCCCCAGAGTAGGGGCAGTCCTGGTGGAAATAGGTCTAGGATACAGGAATATTTCTTGGCTAGACTGAGAGTTGTCTGCAAGTTTATGATAATTAAAAACATTAAACAAAAACATTGGCCAGGCAGTGTAGACTGTAAACATATCGGATACCAAATCAGAACCTAGGGAACACCAGAGCTTACAGATGCAGAGAAAGTCTCACAAGATACTAAGAAGCACCAACCAACAAAGTGGGAGTAAACCCAGGAAAGAGTGGTAAGTGATGCCATGCAGAGGCAGAGGTAGAAATTCAGTCAAATTTGCCCAGAATGAACGACACCAGGTCTTCAAGGTGATGATCTGATATTTCAAAAGAAATGAGCAATGAAATGTTTGTTGAGTATCAGCCGTTTCTTAAAGTTCTGCTAGGAAACCAGAGAACTATAAGACACAACTCCTGCCTTCAAAGCACCTCAACTATTGATAAAAATGGATGACTACCAAAATAAGGGTATGAACCCTGAGAGTCATGAGAAGTCAAAGTGGGGGCAGGGAACAGGCAGTACTTAAGAAAGGCTTTCTGGAGAGGTAAATTGACACTTGAAAGTGGCAAAGTGCTAGGTGGTGAACTGGGGATCCACAAAACAGAGACAAAGGCCAGAAGGGAAAGAAAAGAGGGCCCTGTGGGATGCAACTTGGCTGCAATCCAAGCTGTGTCCTTACCTACACTCTCCCTTGAAGCCATGTTAAATGACATGCAATTCCTCCAAAACTCCAAGCTGCCATGCCTCCAGGCCTTTTCATATACTCTGTCCACTATGTAGAGTGCCTCACACTCTTCCTATGCCCTAGTCCTGTCATCTCCTCTTGAGAGTGTCCTATGATGTCTATGCTTACCCTAGACAGATTAGCAGACTGAGTTCTCAGAGGGCAGAGTTTGTATCTCAACTATATATCCCCAGGTCCAAATTTAATATCATTCAATTCACAAGATCATATTTGTTAAATAAATAAATGAATGGTAACCAGCAACATGAAACCAGATGGAAAAGGCAGGGAAGATGCCTTGGGAAGAAACATGTTTTTTAACTGATGATTCACCTGGTGTTCAAGTTTATAAATTTACTTTACATTATTCCAATGTGAGACAAACTGACAGATCAATAGATTTTATGGTGGCAGTGTGAGACATGAATTAGATTTCAGGAGAAGCAAACACCATCTCTAGATTTAGAATTCTTTTTTTTTTTTTTTTAGCCTATCAACTTTTTAACCACAAAATGCATTTTAATCCAAAGCATGCTGGGTAATCACTTCTGAAATATCACAACATATCCATAACTGATCCCCTGGAGCCTGGGAGCCTAGCTTTATGGCAAGATAAATGTTTTCCATCTTTGACTTTTTAATATTGAGAGAGTCATTGGCCTCAGAGAATTGTAGTTAACCAGTTTCCACTTCCTATTGTGCTGGGCTCTGCCTGTCCTGCTACCCAGCCCATTCTATGAGCACTGATGGGGAACTGGCTTCAGCAGCCTTTACTCCTCACTTCCTAGCTGTAATTAATTTTCTATTACCTATTTATCCAGCCCCACCCTGGTGAAGAATGTAGGTTCTACAGACTGCTCTGGTTCGAAACCTAGTTGCAACATTTTTTAGCTGAGGGACCCTGGGGAAGTTCCTGAGACTCAGTTCCCTTACTTGTCGGGAGGGGATTGTAATACACCTACTTCATGGGGTAATGGTTCCCAGCTGGGGACATTTGGCATTGTCTGGAGACATTTTTGGTTGCCAAGATTAGGAAGATAATGGCATTGGCTACCAGATAGAGGCCCGGGGATGCTGCTAACATCCTACCATGCACAGGACAACTCCCACAACAAAGAATTATCCAGCCCCAACCATCAACAGTGCCAAGGTTGAGAAATTCTGCTCATGAGGTTATTATGAAGGAGTCAATGAATGTTGGCTCTTCTCCACCTCATCATCAGAATACCATCATTTCTCTTGGCCTCTAGCTTCTTCATTCAAAATCCTTATATGTTCTTTCTTCTATCCCCAACACAAATATCCCGACACAAGCTCACATCTTTTCAAACCTTTTTACATCAGTGTCTCCTACTTCAGTACCTTCCCCCTACTCTTCACACAGCCAAATTCTATCTTCAAATCAAAGCCCAAACTCACCTCCTCCCAAAAAGGCCCTAGCTACCCCAATCCATCAGCCTCACTCTCACTTTACCTTCTTGTCATAGTGACCCTGGGCATGTTCCTTCCATTTCTTACACTCAGTTTCCTCATCTGTGAACTAGGCAATGATGGGGCCTTTTATGGATCTCAATATCCACAACCCTTGGCTAACCAACTATCAAAACTACTGAGAAATACAGCAAAGTTGAAGGAAGACAGTTTGAGAACAAAGCAAAGTTAAATCTCTGAAGTTTATGTCTGCAGACATTTTTACTATGATTTGAATATATCTTCTAGATTTCCCTTGTTTTTTTTCGGATTTACTGGCAAATTCTCCCTCATAAGGTTAGAAGAAAAGTTCTTTTTATTTAATTATTTGGGGGAGAGGAAACCAAATGGTTATTAAAATCCCAGTGCACTGCTTCCCTGTGCTCTTCTGCCCCAGGCTCTCAGAGATGGAAGGTTGACCATATGTTCCAATAAGCTTCACCCTCAGAGGCTTTTAGCTTCCATTAATAAATGTAATTGAGAGCAATGAAACATTTGGATCTCACTTTAATAAGTCAACAAAATGTAAATGAGGACTGCGGTTGGCAGGAGCCTTTTGTCCTGGAAAAGGAGGCATCTCTTCCACCTGCAGCCTGCTTTATTTAGGGGTTCATGATGGAAAAGGGGATGAAATGAAACCACACATATAGAAAACCATTTGCAGGTGAGGTTTGAGAAGCCCCCACACCCCAAGTACCTCTGACATGTACTCAATACAGTGCCTGAAATCCTACTATGAGTGGCTCAATTTATTCTTATCCACAGATGGTTCCTCCCTCAGGGCTCACTCCTAACATTGCCTTTGAGACTAACCCTGCCCCTGGTCTGGAAGAATTTAAGAAGTTTGAGTGGTGAGTAGAAAAAGCACCAAACGCCTGATAAAATTGTCTTTTTACATAGTAATAATTCAATAACAGTCACACACTCACCTAGAAACCTCAGCCTCACACTGTCAAGCTGAAATGTAATGGACAAAGGTGGAAAATAAGTTCCTGTCCTCAGATCATTCTGTCTAACCTGGGAGAAAACATCACAAGGGCAAAGCCACCAGAGAGAAGTTAAGGAATAGCGGTGGTGCAAGAAGCATGCAGGAAGGCCTGCAGTGTTTGCTGAGAGGAAGGGTTCTTTCATTCACACATTCAGAAAACATGGGTGCCAACCCTCTTAACAGGGTGATGATGAGTACTTAAATTCGCTGAGATCTGATATCTCCTGGACTTTCTGAGCCTAATCCACTGGTTTTGCCATTTGGAGGGCAGGTTGGCAATATTTACAGAAGATGAGATACACACACTCTTTGCCTCAGCAATTCTACTTCCAAATACTTATCAAACGAATATACTTGACATGTGAAATGTGGCATACATACAAAGATACTTGTGGCAGCAAGTTCACAATAACAAAGAATCAGAAACAACCTAAATGTTCATCAAAAGAGGAACGCTTAAATAAATTAGTGCAGCTGTGAAAAAGAGGTCATTTTGTATATCAAAATGAAAAGCTATCTGACATATTTTGTTAAAGGAAGACAGCAAGTTTCAGGACAGTGAGTCGGGGAAAAAATACCATTCTAAATCTCTGTCTATGTTTGTAAATGCACAGACCGTCTCTGGAAGCACACACAAGAGGCTGTTAATGGTGGTTGACTCTGGGAAGAAGAAATGGGTAGAGGAGGAGCTGGAAGAATAACTTGCTCTTCTTTGTGTTCCCTATTTGTATCCTTTTGAATTTGTGCCCAATATCTGTTTTCAAAGAATAAGTAACATTACTAAAGGAAAGAAAAGTAAGAGTTTTATAGCTGAGAATATGAATCTCAACCCTTCCACCTCCAGCTTCATGCCTGGAGTGTACTATCTAACCTTGCTGAGCCTTGGTTTTTTTCCATTTCTAAATAATAATAATATTATCTACCACATCTGATTATTGTGAGGACTGAAGGAGACAGTGGCCCATGCTAAGAGCTCAGTAAGTGGTATCCACTGCCACCATCATAATCAGCATCACAAGTGAAGAGCACTAACCATTGCAAAAAGGATCAGAAGGTGGTCTTGTTCTTTCCTTAACCACAGACGGATTCCTATCACTGACCAAGGACTCACCTCAGCCTTAAACTCAGACTAAACTCTAAGTCCTGCTCATATAGCCCCCTATTCATGACTCTAGACATAGCCAAAGCAGCGTGTTGTCCCGAATGGATCCTACAGAAGAACCAGAAAAACAGTATGGCGTCAGGCTAGAGGTGTGGCTGCAACTATTTTGGTTTAAAAGCTCTCCAGTATGATTCCCCTCATTGCTGGCAGGAGTGGAAATTGGCTCAACACTTTACAAAACTGTTAGGCAGTATTGACTAAAGCTAAACATAAACGTACCCTGTAACCACTATTTCCATTTCTCAATATATACCCAACAGAAATGAGTGCATATGTCCTCACAAATACTTGTATAAGAATGTATGTGGGGGGGGGGGGGGGGGGGGAGGAATAGCATTGAGAGAAGTACCTAATGTAGATGACAGGTTGATGGATGCAGCGAATCACCATGGCACATATATACCTATGTAACAAGCCTGCACATTCTGCACATGTATCCCAGAACTTAAAGTATAATTTTTAAAAAAAAGAATGTATGTTCATAGAGCTTCATTTATAATAGCCCAAAATTGTTAACAATCAAAATGTCCGTCATTAGGAGAATGGATAAACAAATTGTGGTATATTCATGGAATAGAATACTACCCACCATTAAGACAGAATTAACTACTAGTGTCCAACACAACATGGAAAAACCACACAGACATCATATTGGGGTAAAAGAAATTAGGCACAAAAATGAGCATAATATACGAGTTGAACAACTGGCAAAACTTATCAATGGTGAAAGAAGTGAAAATGGTGATTATCTTAGGAGAGTTGGTGCTCACTGGGAAGTGGCACAAAGAAAACTTCGAGAGTGCTGGAAATGCCCAATATTTTGATCTGTATGGTGTCACATGTGTATTTACATAGGTAAACACACACACATCACAGAATTACATTATGGTCAACAACTGATCACATATACAACAGTGATCCCATAGGATTGTAATGAAATTGATAATTTTCTATCACCTACTGATGTAGTACCATTGTAATGTCATAGTGTAATACATTACCTTTTCTATGTTTAGATATGCATAGATACACAGATACTTACCATTGTGTTACAGTTGCCTACAGTATTCAATACAGTACCATGCTGTACAGGTTTGTAGCCTAGGAGCAACAAGCTATATTTTACAGCATAGGTGTATAGTAGGCTCCACCATCTAGGTTTGTATAAGAACACTGTATGATGTTCATGCAACAACAAATTTGCCTGTCAATGCATTTCTCAGAACATATTCCTGTCATTAATGACGCATGACTATAGTCATCAAGCTGTAGCTCAAGATTTGTTCATTGTATACCTTTTATGGTATGCATTACGCCTCATATAAAAATGAAATAAGTAGCAATAAAGCTCTGTCTCGAAAGTTTTCCTGAACTTCTCCCTGTGTGTTGATCTACTCTCAAAGGCCAGAAAGCCCATCCTGTTAGTTAAGTTGTCATCCCTTCCCATGAGGGTCTGAGCCTTTCTCACCTGGCCCTGTTCAGTTGGTCCTGGAAAATATTTCTACCAGAATAGACTTCTTGAGAGGCCATCTTATTCCCCAGTTGTCTGGTCTTGACAGCACACTAGGTGTCCTCACTGTGGGAGCAGCTGCTCCCACTCCCCCAAGGCTTTCTACACATGGGGTCTGGACAGGGGAGTCTCACAGCAAGGAGGTAAGGTAGCAGATTGCCCCTCATTAAGGCTGTGGTTCTCTGCAGGAAGCTGGCTGCCCAAAGCAGGGAACAGGTGTCTCTGATCAACTGAGGAGCATAAATCCACCTACAACTTCAAGGAGGGGTCCTTTGTTATTTGTTTGGTGTCATAAACAGAGAGAAACAGATGGAAATCAGAATTGCTTATGCTCCCATTTGAGGCCCTTGGAGGCTCTTGGCTTCCATTCCAAGCTCCCTCTGCTGGTTCTTGGGAAAATGCATCCACTTGGCCAGTGTTTGTGCTCCAGACGGAACTGGCCTCAGGGAGGGAATCAGAGGCTGGAAACCTAGCTTCACAATGTTCTCCTCTTCCACCTCTTCACTGGAGTCCCTAAGGTGACTGACTTTCCTGATCATCCCCACAGCAGGAGAGCCAGGAAAATGAGAAAGCTGGAGGTGTGATTTTGAGCCAGGGTGACCACTTAGACACCCTCCCCCGCGAAAACACACACACACACAGAGCATTTCTGAGAAAACTGGCTCCTCAGGAATAAACTGAAAATGTTCATCCACAGAGCAGTTTTCCCCAGGATTATGGAAAGTGATCTAAAATACCTCCGGTTCTTCAAAGCCCTAATTTACACAGAGTTAAATGGTAGAGAAGAGGTGGCCTTGAAGACCAGAGTTATGAGCTGCTTAAAATAAATGCATCTATTTCCGTTTCTTGGCCCCCTCTAGGGAATCTTGTCTCTCAGGAATTCTCAAGACTGTTTTTATCTGAAGAAAGCTGAGAGATTTGTGAACTATGCCCAACTGAAGATAGGCGCCTGCTTTTATTCCAACCTAAGGCGTCAGAATTCTCTCCTATGTCATTAAAACCACTTGAGGTGTAATTATAGCTCCTCTGCCCACTGACCCCTGGGAGTGGGGGTGCAGAAGGCAAGAAACGGAATGCACTCTTTTTAGACTTCTCAGTGCTTTCCCCATAACAGCTATTTAAAGCCCTGTCAAGTTAACCAATGGCTGCAATCTTGTTAGAAATATGTTTGTCTTTTGGCTGAGCATGGTGGCTCACATCTATAAGTCCAGCACTTTGAGAAGTCCAAGCGGGCAGATCACTTGAGGTCAGGAGATTGAGGCCAGCCTGGCCAACCTGGTGAAACCCCATCCCTACTAAAAATTAGCTAGGCATGGTGTCACATGTCTGTCATCCAAACTACTCAGGAGGTTGAGGTGGGAGAATTGCTTGAACACAGGAGGTGGAGGTTACAGTGAGCTGAGGCTGTACCACTGCACTCCAGCCTGGGAAATAGCAACAGCAAGACTCTGTCCCAAAAAAAATAGTTTGTCTTTTAGTTTTTATTTTACAATTCCAAGACCTGGTTGGATTTGGGTCAAATTTAGCTTTAAATTCCTCAACAAATGTTTGGATTGACAAAGAAAACATAAGCATCAATATACAGTGCAAAGCCCACCTCTGTTCCGTTTGCTGTCTGGGCTGACAGGCAGTATTTCTGGCATCTTCAGTAGTGGAGAACGTATTTGTTCAGATCCGCAGGACTTGGTAGGACAGAGTGTAAACGTCACAATAGCCTGGACCCTGAGACAACAGATTTGAAACATCTGGCCTATTGTTTAAAGTGTTATCCAAATAATAATCCCTATCATTTGTCTAAAACAATCAGGTTTCATATTGTATGAAATTTGGACCCACATGATGGATGAGAGTCACGTGTGTGCCACATTCCCAATGGCCTTTCCCAACTATCCGAGATTCCCTGGCTGTATCCACTCTACGTAACCCTCTAAACTGCAAGGAACCATCCATCTCTCCATGCAAGGGATAAGCACGACACCATTATGGGGATAGCAAGAAAGTTGACCCAATTTGTTCAGAAAGTGAATCTATCACACAAATTACAATTTTTAGAAACAAATTGTGTTGAAGAGCAGGCAGTCAGGAACTCACTGGCCATGTTCTTCCAGAGTACCTCCACACATACCACCACACCTGACCTGCCCATCACTGTTCTGCCCTGTCTCATGCAACATGCTGTGGGTTGCTGGGAGAATAGGGTGGGCTTTAGGTTTAGGGTTGAGGCTGTACAGCCCTCAGGTAGGACAGAAGCTAGCTAGCAAGAGGAGGCAAAAGAGAACTCTTGGGTAGAAGATCCCTCTGAGGGAGGAACTACTACCTAAGAGGTGGGGCATGGACATAAAGGGGGTTGAACAGCATAGTGGATAACTGATTGACAGGGCTGCCATCATGGAGCAGTCGCCAACATCCATTCTGAAGCTTTCAGGTTGTTAATATTGCTCTGCTCAGGAGAAAGAAGGGTGAGTAGTCAAAGACGTTTGGGAAAAGCTTGGTCAAAATTAAATGGGCTTCTTTCAGCAAGATTTCTAAGAGCCTTTAATGTGTAAACGATGAGGATTATAGTTTTGGGTATTTATGCAACCTGTTAGAGTGGCGCTCTCTCTCTCTCTCTCTCTCTTTTCCAGAGCATCGCAAAGGGTTAATGAGCTTCACCATTCTATTGTCAACTGGGTCAAGTTGAAAGCTCAGAATCTCCTTTTCTCTACGGCTCCAAGTTCAAGTTGGCTAAAAGTAGAACTTTCACAAGACTTGGGAAGTGGAAGTGAAGCAGTAACTGTTTCTCTCTAAAAGTCTTTGAAGTCGGAAATGTAACAGAAAGACAGAGAGGTGCCTGATGAGTTTCAACTTGTTCTCAGCCCCTTTCTAGCTCTAATCACCAACAGTGGTTCCACACCCACTACCAGATGCCTGGTTACCACAGAAATAGCAGCTGCAGAGATTCAACAGCTTCCCACATACCTTTCCATGAATCCCACCTCACATTTCCACTTCAACATTTGGACCTGCCTGACTTCTCAAATTCTCTCTGCAAGTTCCAACTTGCCCATCCTTGTCAGGGCTTGAGGAGGATGGATGGTGACTCTATGATTCTCCAAATTCCCCTTTAAACTGCATTAGTTTGTTAGGGCTGACAGCACAAAGTACCACAGATTGGTTAGCATAAACAGAAGAAATTGATTTTCTCATGATCTGGAGCCTAGAAGTTCATGATCAAAGTATCAGTAGCACTAGTTTCTTCAGAGGCCTCTAACCTTGGTTCTAGGTGGCTGTAGTCTCCTCTACGTGTGTCTGTCCTGATATCTTCTTCTTATAAAGACATCAGTCAGATTAAGGCCCATCTTAGTGACTTATTTGACCTTAATTACCTCTTTAAAGACCCCGTCTCCAAATACAGTCAGATTCTGAGGTACTGGCGTTAGGACTTCAACATATGAATTCGAGGAGGGACCACAATTCAGTCCATAACATGAATCTTCACTTCCCAAATGTTTTTCGCAATTGTGTAATGTCTAATTCTTATAGTAAATCCCTTTTCCCATGACATGCACAGTGGCTCCACCTATCTGACTGAACCCAAATACAGAAGTGGTACTAGCATTGGAACGTTGCTACAAAAGAAAATCAAAACTAGTTATATTGGCCCTGGGACTAGATGGTGGGCAGTGGCTGAAAAAGCAGTGAGGTCAAGCGATGCCCCAAACTGCAACCTGCCTCCAGTTTGCAAAGAGGGAGTAGAAGGCTCTGGCTGGGAGTGGGCTGGAGTGCCTCAGGAACAGACATACAGGTGGAATACCCCAAACTAAACTTCCTTTCAGCCACAGCTTACTGTGCTGATGGCTAAACTCAGAATGTGAAGAGACAGTCCTTCTCAAGGACACCCGGCCTGGTCTAACCACCAAGCTGACCATGAGACAGGAACCTCCAGCAACAGAGAAATAGCTGTCTTCTCCAGATGACCAGACACATATGCGAGGCAATTAGAGAACCACTTAAGTCTATCTATAATTAACCATCTATGTGTATGCCACAAACAATGCATGTCCCTCTTCTCCCCTACATTATGCTCCAGCCAAACCAAACCACTTATAGCTTCCTGAAACGTCAGGCTATTTCATGCCTCGGGGCCTTTGTTCAACTGCTCCCTCCCACTCGGAAGCCCTGCCAGCATAGCTGCCTAGCAAACATCTATTCATCTTTCAAGCACCACCTTTTCTCTGCAGCTTTTTCTTTTGACATCCAGCTAGCCATCATTTATTAAGCATTTGCCATGTTTCAGGAAATATGCAAGGTGCTTCATTTGATCCTCTTGACAGCTCTACAACATAGGTACTCTTAGCCCTTTTTACAGATGAGAAAAGAGGTTCAGAAAAGTTAAGTTATTTGCTCATGGTCATCCATCTATAGGTGGGACAATTGGGCTTCAAACTCAGACCATTGTGATCAAAGCCTGACTCTACGCATACTCGTATACTTAATATAGATTGGTCCTCTGAAGCTAGGTTTGAACCAGAGACTGAGGCGCTTTGGAGTTTCTACCAGCATCCTGATAAGTTTCATAGCAATCTGGAGGTCAGCAACCCCATCTGAAAGCAATTCTTTTCAAGCAAGGCACCCACCAATGTCTGGATCTCTCTGGAACTGCTTGAACAGACACAGAAATGCCAGTCTGCATCAGGAGGGGCTCCCTTTGCCACAAGGCAGCTCCTGCTTCTCAGAAGTTCTCAGAATCCCCCAGATACCTTATAGTGACTCCCGACTTCTCCAGAAGACAGTCATTCTTCCTACAGCAGAAGAAGTGAGAAGTAGGACAAGACCTAAGCTCAAATCTCGCCACCACACTCTCTGCTCCTCG